TATAAATTACAATAATTAACAACTTAAAATATTAATTAAATTTTTTTGATTAACTCACAAAATTTCACTTATGTCATACAAATTGGGACATATGAATAACATATATTATTTTAAAATTACATTAAAAGTATTATAAGTCACAATATTTAACGATTTAAAATATTTTAAAATCGGACAAAAAAATCAATTGACTCTTCTAATTTATACATGTCACATAAATTGAAACAGATGAAATAACAAGCATCGATCTTTATGTCTAGTGTAGAGTATAAACTAAAATGTGCATAGGTAGCCAATATTTTAACAAAAAAAAAATCACATTTCTTCGGACACAACTTCCATGAAGGTTCCTAATGTTAGAAAATAGTATAGACAACGGAAGCATTCCAGAATTATACATCTTGTATGAATATAGACAACAATCACAAATACGTATTACATACAAAGTATGCTGAAAATTAACTTAGGATTACCTCTTGAAGCGTGTGAAGATATCTTGAAGCAAATTCGACTCCAGCTCTACGATCTTCTACAATGATCCCAATTAACAATTGAACTCTCTCAATATTTGGGTGGGCAAGTATCGTATAGAATACTGTCTCCTTTCTAGGTTAGAAGAATCCCTACTTATTAAGAGATGTCTCCTAGTCCAAAGAGGAGAAGAAAGTATAAATCCTTTTTCTTCAAGAAAACCCAAAACTCACGTTTCTTTCTTGGAAGAAAATATACACGTTACTTTTCCTTATTCTATTAGAAAATAGGATTCTGAGTTCTGGTTAAATTGGGCACTAGAGGAACCACAAAATTTATTACTGAGGCTTTCTATTATGGAAATAATTCCAAATAATTAATTTGAATTATTCTTTACCATAATAAATTACAAATCATTCCACTAAAAATTCGTAATTGCACTCCTCTATTTATATTTCGAAATTCACCATTAAACACTTATGTAATTCCCCATGTTAAGATTACAGATACTAATCAATAAATTAAATTACTGACGAATTTAATTCAATGATTAATTTCCTTTAGAGCAACACTTAATTTAATTCATGTGTCAGATTCATAAATCTACTGGCCGGGTTTACACATGAAAACTTATAAGTTTCTCATAAAAAGTGTATCATCAATCTCTATACTGAGACATGGATTCCATCAATTAACTAATTATTTCACCAATATATCTTATTATCATCCAATCTACCAGGCATATTGACCCATCTCAGAATCTCACCTTTTAATAAATCAAAACGATAATTAATAAATACAGATCGTAATCGTTATATCAAGATTAAGAATATAAGTACATTTAACAGTTTAGAGAATATGTTTTTATCGGTCAGTACATCTATCTCTGCTCGGTATCGTTCAATACATACAAAATGCACTAGCACGAGAAGTTAGAACTATACCATTCTCATAATCAAGATAAATTACATTTAATCTAGTGCTACAATGTTTCTGATGGTTTTGTCCAAATTTCCATCTATGATTGTGAACTATAACTTTTAACTTTAAGAACCAATGATTTAATCTTCTGTGTATAAGCTTAAACTCTACACCAAATCATCTACTATATAAGTTAAGGACACATATATGACAAATTGATCTATTTAATGTAACACTGTATTGAATTAAATAAATAAATAAATAATTGTTCAACAAATAATACTATATCAAAACGCATGGTTAATAGTATATCCTAACAATCTCCCACTTAGACTCATAACCATGCACCTACAACTCTAACACCCATTCCTTCAACATGTCGATCAAAAGACTTTTGCGGTAAAGCTTTTGTGAAAGGGTATGTTAGGTTGTTCTCTGATGCAATCTTCGCTACCATCACATCTCCTCTCTGTACTATATCTCGAATCAAATGGTACTTTCGCTCAATGTGCTTTGCCTTCTTATGACTTTGTGGTTCCTTTGAATTTGCAACCGCTCCACTATTATCACAAACATTGTGAGTGATATTTCTATTGCAGGAACAACCGCTAAGTCTTTCAGAAAGTTTATGAGCCACACTGCCTCCTTAGCTGCCTCAGAGGCTGCTACATATTCGTCTTTCATGGTAGAATCAGCAACACAGGTTTGCTTGATGCTTCTCCAAACAATGACTCCACCTCCCAAAGTAAATACATTTCCTGAGGTTGACTTTCTAGAGTCCATATCAGACTGGAAATCTGAGTCTGTGTACCCTATGGGAACCAACTCATCTGAATAATAAACTAACATGTAATCCCTAGTCCTTTTTAGGTACTTAATTATATGCTTAACTGTTATCCAGTGTTCTCGTCCAAGATTAGACTGGTATCTGCTAACCATGCCTACGACAAAACATATATCAGGTCTAGTACATATCATCACATACATAAGACTTCCTACAGCTGACGCATAAGGAACTGTCTTCATGCTTTCTATTTCCTCATCTGTTTTAGGACATTGATCTTTAGATAGAGAAATTCCATGTCTAAAAGGAAGAAATCCTTTCTTGAAATCATGCATGCTAAACCTGGTAAGAATTATATCAATATAAAGAGATTGAGATAAACCTAACATCTTTTTCTTGCGATCACGTAGAACCTTAATCCCAAGGATGTGAGCAACTTCTCCCAAATCTTTCATATCAAAATTAGTGGACAACCATTCCTTAACTGAATTCATCAAGCCCACATTATTTCCTATGAGCAAGATATCATCTACATATAATACCAAAAATATCACTTTATCTCCATTCCACTTTTTGTACACACAAGACTCATCAAGACATTGCTCAAAACCAAAATCTTGACTGCATTGTAAAAGCAAGTATTCGATGCCCTAGAAGCTTGCTTTATTCCATAAATGAATCTTTTAAGCTTGCACAACATGTGTTCTTTTCCTTTTTCTATGAAACTGTCTGGTTGTCGCATAAATATACTTTCATCAAGACTTTCATTAAGGAAAGTTATCTTGACGTCCATTTGCCAAATTTCATAATCATAATGAGCAGGAATAGATAAGAGAATTCTAATAGACTTAAGCATGACTGCTGGCGAAAAAGTTTCTATTGGAGTACATGGACTCCATTCTTTATTTCATAGCAACGATTCATTTTTCTGCATCTTCTTCTTGTAGTGCTTCGTCATAATTCACAGGTTCGGTATTCGACTCTTCAGGGATTCTGCAAAAGTCTCTCCCAAGAGTGCATACCAAAGTGGTTTTCTTATCACTATCTCACTACGATGAGACACTACAGTTGCAGGAGTAGGTTCAGAGAAATTTGCATTATTATGATCTTGTGGTGGAACCACATCATTTGTAGGATCTTGAGTGTCCATGTTATCTTCAGCACCTTGCGGTGCAGAGATATCAACAACTTCTTCCTCTAATACAATCTGCTCATTATTACTCCCACTACCTTGATGCAATGAATTTTCAGGAACTTGCGCTTGTAGAATTATACGTTTATTAACATCTCTTCCACTACTACAATGCAATGGTATATTAACTCCAACATATGGGGTTTGAATTTGGTTTCCATTATTTTCAGTAGACTGATTTGTTGTCTCTTTGCTTAATTCCTGTAAAACTAGTTTACTTCTGGGATTATGGTTTGCTAAAAAATCCTTTTTCCAGAAACTTGGCATTGGTAGTCACAATGACCTTCTTTTCTTTAGGATTATAAAACATACCACCTTTAGTTCCTTTAGGGTATCCAATAAAAACACATACTTCTGTTTTATGTTCTAATTTTTCTGCCTTCCCATTAGCACATGTGCTGGACATCCCCAAACTCGAACATGTTTCAAACTAGGTTTGTGCCCAGTCCACAGTTCAATGGGTGTCAAAGGAACACATTTAGAAGGAACTAAGTTCATAATGTAATTTACAGTTTCTAACGCATATCCCCAAAACGAATAAGGCAAATCAAAGTAACTCATCATTGATCTAACCATTTCTAAAAAAGTTTTGTTTTTTCTTTCTGCTACACTATTCTGTTGTGGCGTTCTAGGTGCAGACAATTGAGAAGTAATTCCTTGTTCTGATAAGTAACTAATGAACTCATTAGAGAGGTATTCGCCACCACAATCAGATTGCAATGACTTGATATATTTTGCATGTCGTTTCTCCATTTCAACCTTAAACTCTTTGACTCTCTCATAGCATTCAGATTTACGGCGTAACAAATAAATATATCCATATTTTGAGTAGTCATCAATGAAAGTCATGAAGTACTCATACCCACCTCTCACTTGAATGTTCATCGGGCCACACAAATTAGAATGAATTAACTCTAGTTTATCATTGACTATGTTTCCTTTTGAGGGGAAAGGTCTCTTAGTCATTTTTCCTTCTAAACAAAATTCACATGTTGATAGTGCCTCCACTTTTAATGAATCTAGAGGTCCATCTCGAACCAACCTTGAAATCCTATCTAGATTTATATGACATAGACGCAAGTGCCATAGATAAGTCTCATTAAAATCAGAAGAATGCTTTCTTTTACTTGAAAGGTTAACATAATTAAGTTCTACGGTTTGTTGTAATTCTGGAGAGACATTAATAATTAAAAAACCATCAATCAATGTACCAGCAGAGATAAGATGTTCATTATAGCTAATAACACAACCGTTATCAGAAAAATTAACATCATAACCATCTCTCAAAACTTTAGAATCTGAAATTAAATTTCTTCTAATAACAGGTGCATATAGAACGTATTTTAAAATTAAAACTCTATCACTATCAAACGAAAAAAGTAATATTGAAAACGCTAACTTCACCTCTAATCAACTTGCGCATTTCTTGAAACCCCTGCAAAGTAGTGCATATATGATCAGTGGCTCCTGAATCTACACACCATGAAGTGGTAGAAACAGCCGCTAAAAATATTTCAACAACAAGTGAAAGTGAGTTACCTGAGTTTTTTTTCTTCTTGGCTAAGAAAAATGGACAATGTGCCTTCTAATGGCCTGACATCTTGCAATGAAATCACTTGCCCTTAGACTTTTTCACGCCCCAGTTGGAGGTGCAATTGCCTTAGCTTTGTGAGACTTTTTCTTCTTCTGTCCACCTTGCAGTTTAGAAGTAGAAAATTTCTCAACATTTAGTGCCATAGATGGTGCCTTTTTGACAAGTGTCTCTGCCACCTGCAACTTATTCAATAATTGTGTCAAAGATAGACTCATCTTATTCATATTATAATTTAGGCAAAACTGTTGAAAACTGTCAGGCAAAGACTGCAATATCATCTCAATTTGAGAGTCATTGTCAATTTCAGCCCCCAAGACCTCTAGTCCATTCAGAAGACCCATCATCTTCATAACATGGTCTCTAACAAAAGTGCCTTCAACCATCTTAGTGTTCATGAGAGTTCTCATGGCAGTCTGCTTAGCTGATCGACGTTGGTCTCCAAACATTTGTTTGAGATTCTCCAGGATTTCAAAAGTAGATAACATAGCTTGATGTTGATGTTGCAACACATTTGACATTGAAGCCAAAATGTAACATCGCGCCATCTCATCAACTTTGCGCCATTTTTGATAAGCTAACTTATCCTCATCACTAGACTGTTCATCTGGTTTCAGTGGGCATTCATCATTGAGTACAAACTTATACTCTTCAGCAGTTAACACGATATCGAGATTTCTCCACCAATCAACATAGTTAGAACCCTCTAGTTTGTTTTGACCCAAAATAGTACTAATGAGATTAAAAGGAGACATGTTGAATATGAGATTGAAGAAATAGTTACAATAGATCAATCAAAACAGTCATATAATCATTGAATAGTTACATTCAAACTCATCATATACATATACATTCATGCATCTAGAATAGATAATCGATGGGATTAGAGAACTACTCATACAATATACATATATAATGACCGATTATTCACTTCATAAACTTATACAGACCTAACTCAGATGGAGAGTCTACTGATAGTTTAAGTCAAGTGAAAATCCTCTAGTTACATTGATCCAATCATATATTATTCAGTTTAGGAGAGTTAATGCAGATTATCAAACTAGCGATTAAATACGTAGTGACTTGTATTAAATTCATCCGATGGGGAGGAAGGTCTAAGCCAACACATAAATTTAATACTTCATTACTATTTAATCTTGATAATTAAAGGAAAGAATCCTCATCACCATTTTATTTTCTTCAAATTTTATACAAAAAATTTCCAGAGAGAAAAATTTTGCGACAAAAAATTCCAGTTCATTCAGTATAAAATCTCATGCACATATAGTTAAACATATGAGAAATCACATATATAATGAAGAGAATGTCGCAATTAAATAACTATGACCCATTCACTGCCGGCCATTCACGTGCATACAAAAACTTCAACCAATCACTCATATTAATTTCCAATACCCCACAAAGATATTACTCCTTCCATTTCATTTTATGTGGCAACATTTGATCGGGCACGAAATTTAAGAAATAAATGAAGACTTTGAAATGTTTATCAAATTGCCCTTTAAAAAGTAGTCTCACTTTTCTCTCTCCTCATAAATGTATTGGAGTATTATTTTAAGATTAAGTGGGACCAATAAGGGTAAAAGAGAAATTGTACCTTTAAATACTTACCATATTATGAAATGTGATATTCTTTTTGGGACTGACCAAAAAGAAAATGGTGCCACATAAAATGGGACGGAGGGAGTACTTTACTCTTATTATTTAGAAGTGAAACTTTGGCTTCCATTATTTAATATAAGAAAAACAGCCAGCATACATACATGTGAAATGATAAGAAAATTACACCCAGCATATATTTGAAAACAGCCCGCAACCACTTTGAGAAAAAAAAATTCCAGCCGACACAATATGAGAATAAAAAATTGGTACAGAAGTGCCGCCACAAGTAAAGACAAAATAATGACATGTACAGCCATCAAATTTCTTTTAAAATTATCCATCCAAGGAACATTGTGCATGACTATGTACAGCCATCAATTTTGTTCTTTTCGTGATAAAATCAAAATTACTAACCACGAATCATACATGTAATCACATAAGCATATTTAAGGTTATCTATAAAGATGCAAGTATGACTCTTGATGCCAATTGTTAGAAAATAACATACACAACGGAAGCATTCCAAAATCATACATTTTGCATGAATATAGACAACAATCACAAATACATATCACATACAAAATATACTGAAAATTAACTCAGGATTACCTTTTGAAGTGTGTGCAGATATATTGAAGAGTGGACAAAATGACAAGAGGAAACAGAAAAAGAAAAAGAATAAGAGTAATTAAATATGGCAGAAGAAAGGACAGAATTTTGAAAAAATGGAACCCATTACCTTCCATTTGTCAATTAAAGAAGACCCTCATACAAGTATGAGTTGGTATGCCTCGGTCAGAATAATTTTTTTCCAAATTCAACACTTATTCCTATGGGAGAAATGTTATCTGTTGAAGTCCAAGTCGCACTAAAGAGTTTGAGTTGAAGTAGGAAAGATCTTCTGGTCTATGAATAGAGAGACAAGCAAGAGAAGGTTCTATATTGTAGTTTATTAGTTTAGTGAATTATGTTTTGTAAGTTCATTCAGTTGTTAATATTTATGTTTCTAATAGCTTTGAGTGGAATAGAGAATATTAGCTTGGAAGTAAACAAAAAGGTAAACTATTTTTCTACTTTTCTCTTTCTATTTCATTTACATGTATTTTTTTTATTTGAAAGAAATATTTGGACTTAAAGGCAGATAAAGTAATATCTGTTTCTTGTTTTTATTTTGATTATTTGTGGATTATATATACATAATAAGAACTAGAAAAATGAATTGAACCATATGAGTAACTCTCTCTTGTCAATAATTAAGCATCAATACATAATAGTTGAAAGAATTTATTTCATGGCATCAAAATCGGCCTCAGACCCTCTTCTCTTCCCACTATGAAAATAAAGAAGAATTAGTTCAAGTTTCTGTTCGAAATTTGCTTCTTCAATGGCAGAAGAAACAACAACAGATTTTCATAAATTTGCGAATTTCATAAACAGAGTCAGTTCCGAAAACCAAATTACTACTGTTTGATTATCCGTCGATTCAAATTCCTGATTTTTCGTACAAGAGTTGAGTTACCATGGTTGATCTTTTCTCTGTAATTTATTTGTGTTTTCACTTTGTAATGTTTCTACTTATTTTTGTACCACGGAACACGGATTTGAACAGGAAAAAAAATACAACTACGTATGTGTCTTATTTCTTTTTAATTTTTTTTTGGGGTCAAACTGTACTTGGAGTTTGTTGTCTTTCAGTGCAAGTTAAACTCATACTATTGTGATTAATTACTAGTATAATTTAACTGAATTATGAAAGTGAGTGTGTATTATAATGTCGTATTCTCTCGTTCATTTTTAATTTTCTTGATTTCCTTTTTGGAGTCAAATTATAAGAACTTTAACTAACATTTTTACAATGTATTTTTTCATCATTTTGATATGAAAAATATGCAATGTATAGTATTTTTCATATAGTTTTTGAAATCTGAATTTTTTGTTTAAAATATCGAATTAATGTAATCTAATTTAACTTTAAAAATTAGTTAAATTTACTTTCGAAAAACACAACATAACAAATAAAAGTGGACGGAGAGAATAATATATAGCTAATTAAAGAATTTTTGTTCTTCCTTATTAAATGAAAAAAAATGAATGGAGATGTAAGTACCAACGAAAATCTAAACAAAGAAAATTGAGAGAGAACCTCAATAGCTATCGGAATCAGAGTTCCTTGATTATGGTTATGACTTATGATTATGGTATTATTATTTTTCTTATAAAATATTAATTATTTAAATCATAATTAAAATATTATTTTAATCAATTAATCTTAGCCATTGATTTTTATCTATGTTATGTGTCTCACATTGAAGCAAAAATTTGGAGAAAATAGAGGGCATGAAAATGGAGAGGAGCCGAATCCTGAATTATGAAGTATGAAGTATTTCGTAAATTTAGCTGAAAACGAAAAGTCAAATTTTCTTTTAAGGAAACTTCCTGGTGATTTCAATTTGAGCTACACAAAACCAACTCCTACCCGTTAAAATGATTTATATATGATTTGTCACGATGTTTAAAAAATATAAATAAATTTTTTTAATATTGTGATTCTAAATTAAAGTTATAACAAATATATCAAAATGTTATTTAATTTTGTGAACTTAAACATGTTACGTGAAATGACACCTTATAGAATGCAAAAACAGTTCTTTTGCTTTTTTGATTTTGGGATAAATCTAAAAATTTCTGTTTCTTGAAAATAACAGAAACTTCAAGATCAAATTTTTTTAGTACTACTTTATTTAAAAATCAGTGTTTTATCATGAAAATTTAAAATTCTATTTTTCACTTGTAACAATTTCGAACTCTCAACACAATTATTAAATATTATATAATCACTGATAGCCAAATTATACACTTTAACTATTGAATTAAAATGAAAAATACTGAAATATCAAGTAACTACTAAAAATGAGGTTGAGATACTTAAACTCTAGAAAAAGATTGAAAAGATGAGGAGACAATTTCTTTCACAATATGCTTTGAATTCCTGATATCACAACTTTTTTTCATTATTGCTTTCAAAGGTCCACTGAGTTTTGAAGTATTAAACCATGTGCATATTCAATACTTTAACAAAAACAAATAAATTATCAAGACACTTCTTATTGGGCGATACGCAACATCCATGAAGGTTCCTAATTGTGCATAAATTCCATATTCACACCTTCAAAAATTGAGTACAAGTGATAAATATGATCTGTGTAAGGATAAATTTATATTATGAGTTTCAAATTTGTCATTAAATTCAAAAAGATAAAAATTTATCGCAAATGATTATAAATATATATGTTTGAATAATATTAAGTTTTTGTTACTTAATCACAATTGATATATTAACATGTATTATACTTTCTTAGATTATTTAATCATGATAAATTATATTGATTTAGTATAATATATGCGAGTAAGTTTAAGTTTTTACAAATCTCTAAACACTAGCAAACATTCGTAGAGAGATTGGAAATTTGAAATCAATAAGTTTTTACGGACTTCAAATTAATATGTACAGTAATAATCATAACTAAATTTATAAACATATTATAATGACTGACATCATATTGATCAACCATTGATTATTAGTTTATATAATAGATAAAATTTAATTAGGAGTAAAATAGTAGATATGTTTTTTTGTTTGAAAAAACAAGTAATTTCTTAAAGATATGCCAAAATTAAAAACATCATTAATTTATGAACAATGAAAAAATAATTTAAAGGGCTTACCAAGAAATTCCTTGAAACGGATGCATGGAACCTTCCTTGTATTTCAGTTTGTTAATATTCCAAATAGCATATGACCATATATAAATTAAAGGGTTAATTACATTATTATAATAACATTATTATACTTACTCCCTTTTATTATGAGGTTTATTCATAACTAAGTATATTAAAACATAAATAAAAAAAATAAAAAACATTCAGTGGCTCCTTCCAATAAAAAGAGAGAGATAGCAACACAATAAATTCAGTGTATATTTATTATAAGTGGGTTTAAGTAGTACTATTCTCGTTGCTGATTTTCAGTGCCAGTTTAACTCATACTATTGCTTGATCTTATTCTTAGTAGGTGAACTTTTTTGTGTGATTAATTTATGAATGTGTGTGTGTGTGTGTATTATAATTAACC